TTATTTTGTTATATATGGGATTAACATATATACTTTTAAAAAACAAAAATATGATTCTATTGTATAGCAAGTGTATCCAGTTCTTTCATTTAACATTTATGAAACATATTCATGTCTTATGATTACATATTCTTTAAGACTTGGTGAGTTGAATGAGTTGAATAGCATTACTTTAAGAGTTAATATAGAGCAAAGTCTGAATGTCTCCAATGGGCTTCTTAGCTGTGCGATCTTGGATAAGTTACTGAATATTTTTGAGCTTCAGTTTTGTCATTTGCTAAATGGAGATCTTAATAGTTGTAATGAAGATTTAATGACATGGTGCATACAAAGTATGCCCTGTGCATTAATAGCTAGTCTAAATGTTAGCTACAATTTCTTATTTCTTATAGCTCAATACTATTTCTTCCTACAGCTACGTCGTACTTTATTGGACTGTGCCCCCAGTTAGATGTATTGCTTAGTAATTCAATCTTAAACCTTTTGCCTGGCTTTCAGGATTCCTTATAACCTAGCCTGACCTGACTTACTACATTTTTCACAATTTAAATTCCCTCCTCTCTTTAACCGATTTCTTTCCAGCTGCTGTGTTCAGTATACTGATTTTCACCTTATCTCCCTTACTTGAGGCTACCTATTGTTGTTTGTGTATACAGATCATTCCTGGGTAGAGGCGAAAGCTGATTCCATGGGGAACTCAGCAGCTGGGTTGAGCCCTCAGAGTCAGTTCAAATGAGGGCTCAGGGCTGGTTCTTTATGCCCTGCAGTAACTTATAATTGGAAGGTCTCAGTTGAGGACCATCACCCACCAATACTCAGCTGGGGAAATGAATGATTCAGTCCTGAAAGGGAATCTGGTGGCACACCTGCTTCATAATACTGTCCATCTTTCATTGTACTTGAATAAACCTTTTCTCAGGTGTATTACTTAGATAGAGCTATATGCTATATGTCAAGGCTGAAATATAGAGAGATGATACATAATGCAATATATATTGCATTAATAGGAAAGTAATACAGGAGCCAACCGAAAGAGCTAATGATGACCCAATCTGGAACAATTTGAAGAGCATAATAAAGTACGATTGGATTATAATCCAAAGTATAAAATATAATATCCACCATAAGTTTATATCATTATGAATAAATAATTGAATACACAAATAAATGAGAAGAAGAGATAAATCTCTTATGCAGAAGAATTCCAAATAATTTATATAGATACAACATCCTTAAGGAGGTAGAAAATAACTTGTTTCTTCTTAATCAGGGGCTACACATAATGACTTCTTTCCCAAAAATACAGTGGAAAGCAGCAGGATGCAAACTAACTTTCCAGTGAAGAAACCTGACAAACACTGTCTCAGCAAGGTCAACATCAGTAGTGATTACATATTGATATTATATCCTCTTGCTATGATGTGATGAAAATGGCGCTTTTCCTCTGTGATCTTCCTCCAAAAATCCAATAGCCACAGTCTAATCATGAGGAAAACATCAGGCAAATCCCAACTGAAGGACATTCTACAAAATACCTGTCAAACTATTAAGGTCATTAATAACAAGGAGAGGCTAAGGAAATGATACAGCAAAGAGGAAACATGATGACTAAATGTAATATAGTATCCTGAATGACACTCTGAGATACCATAAGGGCATTGGATAAAACTAAAGAGACATGAAGTATGGGATTTAGTTGATGATAGCATATCAATATTAGTTCATTAATTCTAATAAATGTAATACTAGTGTAAGATACTAATCGGGAAAACTGGGTATGGAACACTATAGGAACTTTCTGTACTATCTTCTATTTTTTTGTAAATCTAAAGCTATTGTAAAAATTATGTTAAAAAGAAATACTATTACCATATGACCCAGCAATTCCACTTCTGGGTATATATCCAGAAGATTTGAAAGCAGGGTCTTGAGGAGATATTGGTACACCCATGTTAATAGTGGCATTATTTACAATATCTGAAAGGTAAAAGCAACTCAAATGTCCATTGATGGATGAATACTTAAATAAAATGTAGTAAATACATTGGGATATTTTTATTTAAGGCTTTATTCAGCCTGGAAAAGGAAGGTAATTCTGACACATGTTGCCACAGAGATAAACTTTTAGAACATTATGCTAACCGAAATACGCTAGTCACAAAAAGTCAATTACTATATGCTTCCACTTATAAACATATCTAGAGTAGTAAAATTTATAAAAACAGACAGTATAATGGTGATTTTCAGGAGTTTTGGAGAGAGGAATGGAGGTGGTAGTTTAATGGGTATGAAGTTTCAGTTTTGCAAGAGAAAAAAGTTCTGGAAATTGGTTGTATAACAGCATGAATATGATGAATAATACTGAACTATAGGCTTAAATATGATTAAGATGATAAATTTTATGCTTTAAACTATAATTTTAAAAAAACAAGTACTATTAAAATTACCATTTTTAGTCCATTCGCCTGATGAAATTGATACTGCACAGATATGGTATATCTGTTTCTTTTCTGTTTATGATCCTCAGTACCCTATTTGGTTAATTATTCAGTGATCTAAAACAGTAATGAGGTTAAGTCAGATAATCAGTATCATGCAAAAGTATTTGCAAACAATGCTCATCCAAAAGCCCATATGAAAGTTACCTGGAAACCAGCAGGACGTAATGCTCATGAGAACTCAGGTGTTGAAAGAGAGAAAAACATGGATCAACTGCATTTTTGTTGCTTTTGTCTAAAATAAAAACTTTATTGAGCTGAAGCCACAGTTCTAATTATATATTAAATGATATTTGGTTGATATCTTTTATTTCCTCTTTGCAAACAAAACAAACATCCTATTGCACATACTCTACATTTCTTTCATGTAAAACCCTACAACACAAGGACAGAGAATAGGGACATATTTTCTATTAGAGTTCAGCAATGTCTGGAGGTATTAGCGAAGTTTTGAAGAAGATGACATTAATATCTGTGCCACATATGGCAGTTGAGTTAATTTTTAAATGGCAGGTTCAGTTAATTGAGATTTGTCACTGTTTTGAGCTCCTTTTCCTTTTTCCCACTCTTTTAGATTCAGAGTGTCTTTGACATCCAAATACATTAGAGTATAATTCCTTTGGTGTTCTTTTTCTTTGAAAGCCAGAACAAACAAGAACATCACATTTCCAAAAGAAAGCTGTAAGACTTAAGAGTGTGATCACAGATACCTCTTGGGTCCCAATCTGTATTTAGTGTTAAACAAAGAAAGCAAGTTTATACTTTTGCAGATCTTCAGGGAGCATAATAACCATATATTTGGAATTTTATTGTATGTGATCTTCCTCAAATCTCAGGACAACCTGTAGAGATGGGCAGGATTAATATTATTATGCCATTTGATGAGCAAGGCTCTGTCATTTACCTCCAAGAATGGAGATGACTCCTCAAAATCAACAGCTGAAAAATAGATGAGTTGAAACTAGAATTGAAGTCAGTGCTTCTGCCTTTATGTTACAATGTCCTTAGGACACCAGAAGCGGGAAGGAAAAAAAGAGTAATCAAATTGTTTGAAAACTAACATCGAGTGGCTAACATAATGCTGTTGACATTTAGAAAAAAAGATAATTTATTTCAGAATCTAGTGAAATATCTCCACCATATATAGTTCTTGGGTTTTATACAAATCTGAAGTTCAGTTACTGTCCCAGTGTGAAAGGTGTATGCAGGATGGATTGGAAGGGGAATGGCTCAGGCCAGGGAGATTAGTAAGAGATGTCATAACCCTGGAACAGTGGGCAGGATAGAAGAAGCTATGGCTGGGAAGAGTTGAACTTGATTTGCCTGTGCAAATGGAGTTGGAAGGAAGAGTGAATTGAAGAACATTAAAACCTAGAATAGATAGAATTTGATAGTTTATTAGAAAGAAGTAGGGAAGAGAAGACAGCAGACAACATTGATCCTTGAATATATAATATAAAGCTAGACTCTTCCCTGTTCCGAATAACACTAGTATTCAGATATCTGTCCTGTCTATCTACCTATCAGCAGAGTAATATAGACATTACTGACCCCACATTTAGAAAAAGAAACAGATGATCTTCATAAAATGAAAGAAGCATGGCTCTTTCGTTTTTAACATCTAAGCATTTACTATGTGTCTGCTCAAATGTGTAGACTGCCTGAGTGAAAGGGTGCCTGGTTAACCCAGTGATCAGTTGTGGCTGCCTCCATCAGAAGTAGATATGTAAATGAAAATAACTAGGTTTTCCAGTTATTTAAAGCTAATAACTAGTTTTTAATTGGGGACTTTTGACATACAAATACCTAAAAGAATATGATCAGCAAAAATATGCAAGTGGGTTATCTACCTATTCATAGCAAAATGTTAGGTTACCCCTTCATGGTGAGGCATTGTGCATAGACTGGATTTTATTGGATTCATTTCTCTCCAAAAATTGCAATCACTGTATCTTGCAATTGAGAAAAACAATGTCCTTGCTCCTTGATATTTAAATTCAAAGATGAATGGTTGCAGGAATATGTTGCTTTTTAAATTACACATTTGAGAAAGACTATCACCTAGTGAATCTATTTTTCAGTGGAAATGTGAAAATCTAAAATATGTATGTTTATTGCTCTCTTGTTGATTTTGCTATTTAGTAAGAATGTCTCTGTTCATGTTCCACAGTTTTAGAGCAAAACACAAGAAAGACTGCTCGGAATACTATTGATGTGTTTGAATGGTGAACAAAGTAACAAAAAGAAATACATCACTTACTTATCTGGATGTATGGAACTGCTTACTCAAGAAAATTTATCCTGCTCTTGCTATCAGCTAGAGACACTGAAAAAAAATATGGGAAAAGGAATATAAAAGACAATGAATGTTTTTTAAAAACAAATGACATTTGGTTTAAATTAGACATTTTTGTCCAAGGAACAACTTGTTCTTTTTTGCAAGAGACAAGAAACTAGAGATGTTTGTCTAAATAAATCTTTTCCTGACTTTGTTTCCTTCAGAGTCGTGCTATACTGAAAAGACACCCAATCAAGAGAACTCTGGGAGAAGCCAGAAACCCTGTCCCAGGTACAGAAAAGAAAAAGTAAGTACATTTTTCTTCCACTGATCTTGGAACATATGGAATAACATATTGAAGATGTTTCTAAAAATATCTTTGTTGCTGTAAAGCCAGATGACAGCATACAAAATGTAAGGTGGGCTATCCTCCTTTTAGAAGACAATGTAGTTTAATATAAGGTTGATATAATCTACTGTTAATTTCTAATTAATGGCAAACAATACATCCTGGGACCTTCAGATACACATTTTCAACTTGCATCTGCCAGGGATAAGTGATTAGTAGAGACTGAGCTTGGTTTGACATTTCTACTCTTAGCTGTGCCTATTTAAATAGTTCTTAGTAGAGGCAGCTAACCCATCAGAATAATGTTTTGAAATTTATAGCCTTTAAAACAGAAGAGAAATTCATACTGCCTATCAGGTCTTACAAACTGACTGCTTTTCTCATTACTACTTTCCTCAGAGACCATATAATAGAATTATAATCAGTACATACAATTAAATGTTCTTGATGACACTAATAGGTAGACATACACCTCAAGTTAATACTTTTTTGAGAGACAGGTTTTTGTGTGCTGGTGATATATAACACAGATATCTGTCCAATTATCTATCTATCTATCTATCTATCTATCTATCTATCTATCTAAGACAGATATCTGTATATATTCATACTGTCCTACATCAGTAGTACAGCCTTTGAAAATTGAGGCCACATTCATATTGCAGTCTTATTAGTATTTCATAAAAATGTTACGAGTTTGTAACACAGAAACAGAAAACCAAACACTGCATGTTCTCACTCATAGTGAGAGCTGAACAAGGAGAACACATGGATGCAGAGAGGGGACCATCATCATACATCCGGGATCTGTCAGGAAGTGGGGGTGTAGGGGAGAGATACCATTAGGAGAAATACCTAATGTAGATGACTGGTTGATGGGTGCAGCAAACCATCATGGTATACCTGTGTAACAAACCTGCACATTCTGCTCATTTATCTCAGAACTTAAAAGTGTAATAAAAATAAATAAATACATGTTATCAGCTTGGTAGAAATTTTATTTGAGAGCACCTCGATCCCTTAGTGCTACATTCGCCTACCCAGAGTGAGAACCTTGCTTCTCCCCTGCAGCTTAGATGATGAAGCAAGAGGTAAGCTGCAGCCTGAGGGAAGGCTCCGAATTTCTTCACCGCCTCTCAGATTCCTATGAGAACACAATTCCAGAGGAGCAGGAAGGAGTGGAAGACATTACATTTGGTTTAGGCCCATTGTTTGGTCTTCGTAAAACCAGTGTACAACTTTCCTATTAACCCTCTGTGATTTTGTTTAAACATTGGCAATAGGTTCATTTCCATGGCACATCAGAACATTTTTACTTTGATGTAAACATTTAAATTTATGTCTAAAAATAAAAAAATAACGTCTTAATTGATATCTACTTTTATTATAAAGTAATTTTACACAAATAATTTTATCAGAACCATTTATATTTCTATGTAAACCACTAGATTCTCCATACTAGGACAAAATAAGTAGAATTATAAATATGAATTAATTTTGTACTTAAGGAAAATTAAAACTAATATAAAATAATTATTTGGTCTATATTGTGGGCTGAATATATAATGATTTATAAGCATAATCTTATTTAATTCTCACAGTAACTCATGAGGAAGGTAAGGAAGGCATGGTTATTTCCAGTGATACAAGCATACCTTGCCAAATGCACACATTTAGCAAGTGGGTGGTGAAGTTAGGACTTGAGCCTAATTTCGTCAGATGCATAAGCCTATGTCCTTGACCAGCTTGAATAGAAAGGTTTGGCAGGAGCTAAAACACTACATTTAAATGACTAAAGTATCTTCTTTTCATCAGCTATTTATAATCAATTATTAAAAATATACAGTCTTAAGGAACAAATTATCCCTATACTCTATGAATCCTATGAAAGAGGAAACATTTTTCTGATTTATTTAATAAGAAGCACAATACTATAAAAGTCAAAAAACAAAATTAATAAAAGTAACACAAAAAAGAAGATAATAATTTATTGAAATACTAGCTAAAGGAATGTAGATATCAACAAAATAGAGTAATACAACACATGGTGTTTATTCTAGGAATGTGAATGTGGTTTAGCATCAGGAAACTTATTAAAGTGATTTCATAGTCGTAGACCAAAGAATAAAACCAGTGTTTTAACTTCCAAATAGATTTCAAATGACATTTGATAAAATGCAACCATCTTTCTTTTAAGAAAACACACATACATGTTGTATAATGATTTAGGAATAGAGAGATACCATTAAAATATAAAAAAGTGATTTTAAGAAAGCAGAAAAACCCTAGTGGCTTACTACATGACCAGTTTCATCACTTATAGTTAATATCATTTAACAAATTTTAACCAATGGAATTGGTTAAATTATTTGTTTTAAATGACAAATATTTTCTGAATTCTTCTCATATATGCTAGGAACTGTCCTAAATGCTTTACAAATATTAACTCATTTAATTCTTACACCAACCCTAGGAGATTTGGACTACTATCATTCTATTTGACAAATTAGGAATCTGAGGCCAAAAGATGCTAAGTAACATGGCCAAGGTCATGCAGCTAATAAGTAGCAGAGCTGAATTAAAACTCATGTGGTTTGACCCATGAGTCTTTAATCATAAATATTACATTATGCTGCCTCTCAAAGATTATAATAATTAGAAAAATGGCTACCTTTTTTTTCTTAAAATATCCATATTTTACTAAGACATACTATATCTTAGTTAAAAATAAAGATGAAGTTCTAGTAAAGACCAGTTATAATCCCAAGAGAACTAACTGAAGAACCATTATGGTAATTAACTTTAAGTTACTATACAAAAGATAAATGTGTAAAAATCAGTTCATTTTTCTATGGCAGCAAAAAATTAAAAACATGAAAAAATCTCATAATAGCAATTAAGTATCACAAAGCTATGAATAAACTATTAAAGAAATGTGAAAGACTTTAAGAAAATAACACTTATTGAGAAACACAGATAAACAATTGTCTGTTAAGTATGTTATGCAGAAAGAAAAATAAGCCGTAATAAAGTTTATGTTATAGTCTTGGATGAGAATAATAGATGTTGTATAGATGTTAGCTTCCTCAAATTAGTTTATAAAGATAGTACAATTTCATTTAAAATCTTGAAAAGTTTTGGAGGAGAGCTTGGCAAAAAGATTATTAAAATTCATCTGGAAGCATGGACAGTCTAGAAAAGGCACATAAAATATATATATATAACTTGCTATTTTCCAATATTAAAGCATATTAAAAAGTTACAATTATTAAAGCTGTGTGGTACTATTTACTAACATGGAAACTTAGAGAAGCCAAATCAATTTGACAATTCCCCAAACAGATCAAAGCACATGTAAAAGTAATGCATAAGAAAAACCACGTTTTATGTTGATGGAGAAAGTAATAACCATTCAAAAAGCACAACAGCAATAATTAGTTCATGTTAGGGTAAATTTGGAAATTTTATTTATATAATATACAAATACATGTCAGATTGATAAAAGCAGAACAAAGACAGAGACATAACTGGAGGAAAATAGATTGGCAAATAATTTTATAATCTTGTCTAATGATGTCAAAGGCAAAAATCATAATTGAAGATTGATAGACTTGATTGTAAATATATTAAAACTTCTCTACATATAAAACAAAGAAGAGACTCAAATAGCATGAACATAATAAGTGTTTTGAAATTGGTTTCTCTTGATTTTTTTGTGGAGAAACAGAATTAATAAATTAGTAAGTTCTGACTAACATTTTAATATATTACTGTTTGAAGGCTGAGTGAAGCAGAAATTGTTCTGGGATAGTACTAATTTGGCATTTTAACTCCGGAAGGCAAACAGCATCACAGAAATTTCTGTGTGAAGAATACATACTATGTCTTAGTTAAAAATAAAGACTTAGTGCTAGTAAAGACCAGTGATAATATGGAAAAGTAAATTGTTCCACCTAAAACAATCAATTAAATTTGGCTTAGAATATCCAAGAGAATTGAGGATTTCAACTAGACAGTTTTATAATTCTCACATATGCATTTTATTTCAGTAGAAATTATTTGCAACCTTCTGAATTTTAATAACATGTTAAAGTAAGTTATCTCTAATAAAAATGAAATAATTCCATTTCTGTCTTGAATAATGCAGTAGAAAATTGCAGAGGAGTGACATAATGATACAATTTGAAGAGAGATGTTTCCTGTTTTATTAAAGTTGATGATATAAGAAAGATTGTTTGCCTCCTTCCAGAGTACCTCTGCTCTTTCAATGCTGGGAGCTCAGAGGAAGTATGAAAGGAAAATGTATAATAAGTAATGACCAATACTTTTTTATAGTTTTAATTTAGGTAAAATATTGAAGGTTATAACAGCCTGTACTATCACAATCAATTAATACTAACACCAACAAAATAGCAATTTTCTGTCCCAGGCCCTGTTAGCATAATTGCTAGACTCTGAGCTCCAAATATCTCATGGAAAAGACTAACCAGTGGGACCATGAACCTTCTAGACTTTCTGTTCACATTCAGCCCCTATCCATGATTGTGGCCAATGCATTGACTCCTGTTCACTGCTATTCCTCCTGAGGACACTCACTCTACTTCATGCCCTCTTGCTAGCAGTCTCTCAGCTGACATGGAATCTGCTACCCAGCCTGTGTTGCCCTTTTGTTTCAGGGCTCAAATTTCTCGAAGTTCTGCATTCAGCCATTCATCTGTTGTTTTCTAACCCTGACCATTGTTCCTGTATTGAGTTTAGTACTTCAACTCTCTTTATGCATTCACCTTAAAGAGTTTCTTCCCTCACTTACACAAGGACTAGGACTATTAATAAGTGGCTTTTTGCCAGGCAGGTCTTGGTCCTGGGGTTTGGCTAACAGCCATCATCACTGTCCTTGCCATAAGAACTTTGAGGTATTCATGATCCCAGGCAGATTAATCCTGCTGGTTCAGGAGACA